CCCCAAAACCCCAAAACCCCAAAACCCCAAAACCCCAAAACCCCAAAACCCCAATGTCTCAAGATTTATTGAAATATCTATTTTTCAAATTCGCCCACATATACAGTCTTGTCGGAACTAGCACTAGCGATGATATATTGTTCAGGGTGGAAGGCAGTCTCGTTTACAGACCCATGATGACCGCCTAATTTCTCAACTACTTCTGCAGTCTCTGAGTCCCAAATGTAAGTAAATTCGTCAGATGAGCCAGCAGATACTAAGGTATCGTCATGGCTCCAGGAACAACGAAACAGGTTCTTTTCAAAGTTAATTCGGAAACAATAAAGTCTCGTGAATATACGACTCTATAAGCACCTATATCCTCCTACAACAAAGGGACTGATATCCCATTTCTTTGCAGTCTTATCCATGGCATTAGATAGAAGATATTTTCCATCATGACTAAGACTTATTCCTAAACAGGGATTTAGCATGAAAGAGTGAGTGAAACTTACCAGTGATAGTGTCTGTATGACCAAGAAGAGAAAACTCTTCCTTCTCCTCAGTCTTGATATTCCAGGCCTTAATCTGGTTGTCCAATCCTCCATAGTAGATAAATTCATTAGTATCGTTAAAGATAGCTGTAGTAGGCTGGTAATTGAGAGTCAAGACTTCTACAGCTTTTCTGGTTCTTTCATCAAAGAGACGCACTGTACAGTCATCTGAAGTGGTGACAAATATCTAGAAGATTATGAGTTGGGAAATTACTTCTTCTCCTCTTCTTCCTGCTTGGACTGAATTTACGATTCCTTCGTGATCTTTATACTTCTTCAATCTTTTTCCTTCTGTAAGGTCCCAGACAGAGACAGTCTTGTCTGCTGAGCAGGTGTACATTTTAGAACTATCAAGGGACCATCAGATATCAAGGATTCCATTCTTATGAGCTTTGAGTTCAAGGACATTTTTGAATTCCTTGCTAAACACTTCCCAAATCATGATGGTTTTGTCGAATCCAGCAGTGGCCATATAATCTCCACACTCTGAGAACTTAACGCAATGCACTTCGGCTTCATGACCTATAGCCCTCAACAATTAGGAACTTACCGGTGCACTTGAGGGTATTCGTGAACAACTTTCTTTCTGCTTTAGATGTCTTGTAGGGATAATTCGCATCGTCTTGTGCGAGAACTAGTTCCATTCTAATTATTTAAACCAATTTATATAAACCCAAACGGGGTTTTGGGGTTTTGGGGTTTTGGGGTTTTGGGGTTTTGGGG